GGAAATAATCAGGTAAATACAAGCACCTTAAAAACAGTACTTAAGTAAATGTATTCAGTTACTTTCCACCACTGGGAACACAGAGCTGAGGAACACATTGATGTCCCCTCTTTAAAAACATCCTCTCCCTGTTTGATAAGTTTAGTTTCCTGATACTTACCCGCAGTTGGCTGCGTGTAGTTCGACGCTGAGACATCACGGAGCAGGCTGTCAGATACTAAAAGAGATTATTACAGAGGGAGATGTCTCCGTGTTGCTGCTGTGAATCCACACCACCACCAACAACAACAACAGGTGTCCTCTGGTCAGGACAGCTGCTCATCAACCGCTGCTGCTGCTGCTGCTGCTGCTCAGAGGACACTCTCTGCTCTGTGCTGTGAGCTCAGCTAACGCAGCAAGAAGGTGACAGTTAGCAAACCTAGCTAACCACCGTCAGTTCCCGCCGCTTCCTTCGGTTCACCTGCTCTTTTCTCAATGTTACAACCCACACATTCCCCTCCCTGTGATCAACGTTAGGGTCAGTTACAGAGCAGCAGTGCGGGCTGAAAGCTGCCTCATGTCAGACACACAAACAGCTTCAGCTAGCAACTTCACACTGTTTCAAATGTGACACACTCACCTGAAGAAGAGCTTCCTCCTCCTCTTCTTCGTTCTGCTCCTCAGCTCAACTCGTCGTTTCAAGAAGTTCCGCTAAAATGTGACGGAAAGTTGTGAACGAAACAGCGCTGACATTAAATGTTGTGGGGGAAAAGTATCACGTTTATTTTCAAAACTTCTCCCGGCGGCTGCGCGCTACGTCACTGTACGACCGTCGACGTTGGATGACGTAAGACGGCGAGCCCGCTCATGGGACTTGTAGTTCTGAGAGGCAGATTTTTAGATTTGTTTAGTGTAACTCATCAAGGGTGAAAGAAATATTCAGATCTTTTACTTTAGTGAAAGAACCAAAACTACACAGTGGAAAAACTCCATTACAAGTAAAAGTCCTGCATTCAAAACCTTAAATCAAATCAAATTTATTTATGAAGCACATTTAAAACAACAGCTGTTGAACCAAAGTGCTGAACAATCATGAGTATAAAAACAACACAATAAAAGAAACACAAACGGGTAACACAGACAGAAATGCCAAACTCTCATACAGAGTTAAAAGCCAAAGAATAAAAATGTGTTTTAAGACGTGATTTAAAAACAGGCAGTGAGGGGGACAGTCTGACATGCAGGGGCAGCTCGTTCCAGAGTTTGGGGGCTGCAACTGAAAAGGCCCAGTTTCCCCTCTGCTTTAGCCTAGATCTAGGCACAACTAAAAGCGACTGGTCAGCAGACCTGAGAGCATGCGGAGGTGCATGTGCCACTAAAACATCGGACAAATAAATGGGGCCTAGCTCATGTAAAGATTTATAAACGAAGGTTAAAATTTTAAAATCAATTCTAAAAAGTACAGGGAGCCAGTGAAGGCTCGGGAAAGCACGGGAGAAATGTGCTCTCTCTTGCCATAAAAGGCATTGCAATAATCCAGACGGGTAGAAATAAAAGCAAGCACTGGTCTTTCAAAGTTGTTAAAAGAGAGGCAGGACTTAACCTTAGATAAAAGCCTCAGTTGATAAAAGATAGATTTGACGACTGAATTTATGTGTTTATCCAAATTAAACCCACTGTCCATGATCACACCAAGGTTTCTGACGGATGATTTTACTATGGACTTACATTGCTCAGGTCCATATTGGGGCCAACACAGCCACTACTGGGTCCAAATATCAGAATCTCAGTCTTTTCTTCATTAAAACTTAGAACATTTAAGGCCATCCATGCTTTAATGTCTTGAAGACAGTCCAGCAGTGGCTGGAGGGTGTCATTTTGTTTAAAGGCAGATCAATGTGTGTGTCAACTGCATAAAAATGAAATGCAATGCCATGTTTTCTCAGAATTGAACCCAGGGGGAGCATATAAAGGGAAAAGAGGATAGGCCCAAGAATGGACCCCTGAGGCACTCCACAAGGTATAGGTGCTGAGGAGGACACACAATCACCAAGGCTGACAGAGAAGCTTCTGTCAGTCAAGTAGGACCTAAACCACTAAAACGCAGTTCCTTTTATGCCAATGTGATGCTCTAGGCGAGCAATAAAGAAACTATGATCCACTGTATCAAAGGCAGCTCAGAGGTCTAAGAGCATAAGAAGGGCAGAATTCCCTGAGTCAGTGGCGAATTAAAGATCATTAAAAACTTTCAAAAGTTCTGTTTCAGTGCTATGACAGGCTTTAAAACCAAACTGGACAGTGAAGATAGAAACTAGTCAGCAGAGGGTGTGTGTACGACTTGCCTCTGAAATGATTTACTTTATTTAAATGGAGGAAAACATTTAACAGTTAAACAGTGTTGTGTGTTCAAAGTGTCATCTACAGAAACAGGTGTTGCAGGTGGCGTCTGTCTGAGAAACTGACCACAAGCTGAACAAACAGTCACACCACAAATCATAATGTCAGCATGTTTTATTCAACAGTATAGTAACATTTAAACACTGATTGCAATTGAATTAAAGAAAATGTCAACATTCTCTCAAGTACACATTCACATTCTTGCTGAGAGAACATTGATACCTGAGACATGAACACAACAAATGTATCTCTCATGAGCAAACATTTGTAAAGGCACAAAATATAAAAATATTTACAATATATGAATAAAGTGACAAATGTTTTACACTATATTTGACACTTTTACAGCATTGTTGCAAATTTTGTTCATAGTTCAAATCTTGTATTTTGGTCTGAATATAAAAATATTATACAACATCATTTTGCCTCCTGCAGAAGTCTTGCAACCAAATCTCAATGACACTTTTAATTGTGATAATGACACTAACATGAATGAACTAAACACAAGATGTATGTTTTGGCATCTCAGTCATTATCAAAGGGTTGAATGTAACAGTCTGATACACAGCACAGTGAAGGCCTAAAACATATCTGCCACTTCAGTCTCATACTTGTGTTAAAACACCACTCAATACTTGAATCTTAAAGCTTTTCTTTAAACACAAAAACATTGTTTAATACTAATATAATACTGAGACAAACCTTAAAACTTAGAAAAGTGCAAATGAAGTAGCCCATAGCAATAAGATAGAATTATGGCCTTGGGGTTAAGAGGCCTTCTTGATTTCAACAGGTGTAAGATTTTTTTTCTTTTTAAATTCACAGCAGGCCTTCTCTTCAAGTTTCAGCTGAAGGCATAAAGGCACGATACAAGTGTATGACAACACAAACAGTTTGAAAGTTTACAGTCGAAAGTTTAAAATCGAACACACTCTGAGATCGGATTTCCAACTCAGAAATTCGGAGCAACCGCATCAACCCCGACTTATGAATTCAAGATGGCTGCCGGTCACATACATAGTGAGTAAACACTCTGCTAAAGTACTGTTTATAGCAATTTTATCTTATTTGTTTTACATTAGGTCAACCTCATCTGCGGCTTTGCGACTTGTCCACCATCGTCAACTAGAATGTAAAAACTGTTGTCAACTCAGAGGTGACGTCATTCCCACTTCCCACTTCCGACCTCCGAGTACAAAACGAACACAGCATCACTTTGTCCTCATCCATTCACAGCTCTCCATCCCACTCCCACTGCTTCCTCTAACCAGCTGACTGTGGGTGTTCACTCTTCTAGTTATTCAATCAAACTTCACCATGATCTCTATCAGCCAATCAGGATGCTACTGCAAACTTTTAAATCTGCTCTCTCCTCTGCTGCTGTCAGCTGTCATTTTAGGCAGTCCCTATTCGACTATGGATTCATCACCCTCCTTAAATCATACCATCTCTACGGGGTCTAATCGCCAAAGGCTTTCCACATTTTTCATTCTTATGTGCACATGTTAATAAATGATCTTTTTACTATTAAAGAGTCTCTCCTGATTGAAATAGATTTACTTGTCCCACAGCTGTGGATCTCCTTACCTGAGGAACTTAGGTTGTCTTTGTTTAAAACACTCCTCAAAACATACTTTTATAAGAAGGCTGTTTTTCAGTAAATCTGTTGTTTGTCTAGTTTCTATCCTTCTTTTATCAATTTTTCAAACAAAAACAGTTATCACAGTTATCCCGACCACCCAAATTGAATCTGATCATCCTTGAGTCCAAGTGGATGTTTGTGCCAATTTTTTTTAGAAATTTCCCTCAAGGTGTTCTTGAGATTTCATTGAATCAGGGGGTGCTGCTGCCTGAGAGTCATGTGCACCCGTATTCAGTGGCTGCTGCTCCTTCTCTCTCTCTGCAGTCTTGGAACCCTCTGACCCTGCAGAAAAATAAAACAAAAATATATTCAAGAAAATTTGAACTTTCTTGATCCGACTCAGGCAGTCACCCCTCAGACATACATTTTCAAACGTATTATTCATCAGTGTCTGTTTGGAAATATAGTTAATGTGCAGATTGATTCTCTTGAAAGGTGCAGTGATGTGTATTTGTTAGTTAGCTCATAATTTCAGGGCAGTTTTGTGGTCGACTATAAATGCTCAGTATTAGTATTAGAATTGATTTTAAATTTTCATTGACCACTTTTAGGACACTTCATGTGTCAGCCTGGTTGCACTGCAGGTCCTGACCCCATACTGTGTATACTGTACCAGAACATGACTGAAGATCCTCAGGTTCAGTCTGAGTCCTTGTACCACAGCCAGCAATGCGCTGAACATTATTTTTCATCAGATGTTCAAATTTCTGGAGCTGTGTCACTAAGGAGTTAAGAGGAAATGTCATTTGCATCTTCTTTAACTAGTTTTTAAAATGTAATATAAAATGTTTCATTTATATTTGATGTAGGACTCTAATTGGATCTCGTAACTTTAACGATAAACTGTCTGAAAACAGAGAAACGAGGCCCTCTGCTGTAACATGTGCACTAATTCGGAAAAATAGCTCTTGTATTATATTCACAACTATTTATTTTTATTTATTCATTATTAGAACCAGAGGACTCATATATTAATGTAGTCTCAGTGAGATTTGTATAAAACAGACTGGTTCATATCTGAAGAGACAAACACAACTGTAAAGACTCTGGACAGATATGTTGATAGAATATATTATTAAAACTTACCTCTAACAATCCTCTTATTGAGCCTGCGATACCACCAAATTGCATCAAGACCAAAAAAGGCTAAAATTGCAGCAGCAATAAGCCATTTAACATTAATATTGCTCCTGCTGTTGCCTGAAACACATGACAAAAAGCTGATGTAACACTCAAAATGTAACTGTGTATCATGTACAGCAGATTGATCATTGACTACACATAGAGAACAGTTCAATGTGCTGCTAATATCTATCAAAACTAAAAATACAACACATGAGCACCTCAAGGAGGAAACTTACCAGTGATATCCACAGATATCTCAGCATGAATCTGATGGTTGATTTCCTCCTGTGTGACCACACAGTGATAGCGGTCGGTCTTGGTCACAGTAGTTTGGAGGATGATGTCATAGCTGCCTCCTCTGTCTGTGACCTGTGGTTCTTCAGCAGGAAGGATGTTTCCATCACTGTCCTTCCACTCTACTTTAGGTTTTGGAGAAGCACCATGAACCTCACACTGCAGCTGCACTCCATCATCTGTGGCATTGAGGACTGTGACAGATGGCTTTGGAGATGAAACTGTCAACACATTATAAAGAATAAAAAGAACAATTACATGATCAGAAATGTAATAATGTGCTTTTTGTGTTCACTCCCTCTCTGCTCGTATTTAGAAACACTCACCAACAGCAAGATCAATGTGGAATATTTGAGGTGTCTGAAGAAGTGGAAAAAAGCAGGTGTAGTCTCCACTGTCAGCCATCTTTGTATTTCTGATGATGATGGAGGCGTTGCCATGTTTCAGCTCATCTTGGAAATGAAAGACTCGACCTTTGAACTGCTCATCTTGACCTGAACCACCGTTGTTATGATGGAGGCCTTTATCATACATGAACACCCCCGTCATACCATCATGTTTCCTCCAGTCAAAGAGTTTCTGCTCGATGTTCTCCTTGGTGCTGAGGGAACAGGGTAATGTAACATCACTCCCTTCTGACACCAACACTTTGATGGCCGCTGGTCCTGGAACATAAAAACATCATTGAAACATTTTCTGTTTCATCTCATTTTTAACGAAATGTCACCAAAATCTTTGACAATATTCCTGAAATCAGCAGAATGATGTAAGATTATTTCAGAATTATTTCACCAACAATTTTACTGTTATTGATATCTCATGCTTTTTGAAGATACCGACCAATGAACCATATCATAACCCTAGTTCTATCAGCACAGACGAAACCCTCTGCATAGGGGCCCTGACACTCCTTTGTGGCTCGCTGAAGAGGGTGTAGGATGTCACACACAGGAATCTGTCTCCTTATATACTGAGGGGTCCGCAAATGTTCAGATAGGCAGGTCTGGATTGGCTGGTTACATTTATACCTTTCTCAGTGGGCATATGCGTGCTCATGGTTAGAGGAGTATTACCCAGGATTCATATGAACTTGATTGTGGATATGGTGGACAAACAATATCACTCTGGACATAGGATCACAACATGGAAACAGCTGATCCTTACAACTCAATCTGGGTGAAA